GAGCCCGATGCGGGACTCGATCCCAGGACCCTGGGATCATGACCTGAGCCGAAGGCAGACGCTCAACCATCTGAGCCACACAGGCGCCCTAAAAAAATAAATAAAATCTTTAAAAAAGAAGGTATCAGACCAGGGGCGCCTGAGTGGCTCAGCTGGTTGAGCATCAGACTTCAGCTCAGGTCATGATCTCAGCATCCTGGGTTGGAGCCCCATGTCAGGCTCCCTACTCAGCAGGAGTCTGCTTGTCCCCCCCCCAACCCCGCAACCGCAAGTTCTCTCTCTCAAGTACACAAATAAATAAAGGAAGGAAGGAATCAGACCAGTAGAGCCTCTCCTTTGTCTCTAGCATTTATTCAATCATTTATTTATTCAATATACATTTACTGAGTACCTATTAAGTAACAACCATTCCATTATGATGTTAGGGAAAATAATCATAATAATGATAGCATGTATTATTAGCACATCTACCTACCTACCTATGTACTTAGTGTGTAACAAATCCTGTTTAAAGCACTTTCCCTATTAAATTTATTTACCCCTCCCGGGCGCCTGGGTGGCTCAGTTGGTTGGGCGACTGCCTTCGGCTCAGGTCATGATCCTGGAGTCCCGGGATCGAGTCCCACATCGGGATCCCTGCTCAGCGGGGAGCCTGCTTCTCCCTCTGACCCTCCCCCCTCTCATGCTCTCTCTCTCTCTCTTTCTCTCTCTCAAATAAATAAATAAAATCTTTAAAAAAAAAAATTTATTTACCCCTCCCAAAATCTACACAAGGTAGGTATTATTATCCCTTTATATACAGAAAGAAATGGAAACACAGAAGATTGATTAAATTATCCAAAGTCACACAGTCAGTAGGGGGTGGAGGTAGGGCTTGAATCCACACCTTTTTTTTTTTTTAAAGTCATGATCTCCCGATTGTGGGATCAAGCCCCATGCTGGGCTCTGTGCTCAGTGCGGAGTCTGCTCTAGATTCTACCTCTCCCTCTCTTGCTCTCTCTCTCAAATAAATAAAATCTTATCAAAACAAAACAGGAGGGGCACAGCATGGAGCCCAACATGGGGCCTGAACTCACAACCCTGAGGTGAAGACCTGAGCAGAGATCAAGAGCAGGACACTTAAGCCACTGAGCCACCCAGGCACCCCTTGAATCCACACTCTTAACCACTAAACTATACCGCCCTTTTATACCTATAACCAAGTCTCTGTTCTCAGGGTACTCACATAAAAGGTGAGAACAAAACAAACAGGAAAAGAACTATTCCTTCATAAAGACACTGAGGAAGGGGCGCCTGGGTGGCTCAGTTGTTAAGTGTCTGCCTTTGGCTCAGGTCATGATCCCAGGGTCCTGGGATCAAGTCCTGCATTGGGGTCTCTGCTCCGCAGGGAGTCTGCTTCTCCCTCTGCCTCTGTCTCTCTGTCTCCCATGAATAAATAAAATCTTAAAAAAAAAACAAAAAAAAAACAGAACCTGAAAATGGATATTGAACAGACTGAATATAAGGTCAAAGAGAGATCCCAATTAAAATAGAACAAAATTACAGAGGTGGAAAATAGAAGAAACAATAAAAAATTAAGAGGCTTGGTCCAAGAGGTCCAATAGGGAAGTAAACGCATTCTAGAGAGATTAGCAATGGAGGAGAGCAAAATAAGCAACATAAAAAAAGTCCTAGAATGGTAAACATGAGTTTCTAGATTGAATGAATGAAAAAGGACCCACCATCAAGGCCCATAAGAACACAGGGTTAAAGATTCTAACAACTTTCAGTGAGTAAAAGGTGCCACATACAAAGGCTCAGATACCATGGGGCACCTGGGTGGCTCAGTTGGTTAAATACTGACTGTAGGTTTCAGCTCAAGTCCTGATCTCAGGGTCCTGAGATGGAGCCCCACACTGGGCTCCCTGCTCAGTGTGGAGTCTGCTTGCGATTCTTTCTCTTTCTCTCCCTCGGTCCCCCCACCCCTGCTTGCTCACACACGTGCACAAGCACTCTAATAAATACATAAATCTTAAAAAACAAAACAAAACAAAAAAACCAACAAAGGCTCAGTTACCAGAACGGCATTTATTAATCAAGTGTGAAGGCAGAATACAGGCAAATTTAGGCTTGCAAGGTTTTAAGCCATCTACTTCCAATGCACTCTCCTCACACACACTGTTTTATAAAGCTGTCCCAAGACTGGCTTCATCAAGGATGCTCTTTTTTTTTTTTTTAAAGATTTTATTTATTTATCTGACAGATAGAGAGACAGCGAGAGAGGGAACACAAGCAGGGGGAGTGGGAGAGGGAGAAGCAGGCTCCCTGCCAAGCAGGGAGCCCGATGTGGGGCTCGATTCCAGGATCCTGGGATCATGACCTGAGCCGAAGGCAGACGCTTAACGACTGAGCCACCCAGGTGCCCCATGGATGCTCTTAATAGCAACTAGCATGCCCCCCACCAAATGCAAGCAAAAAATACGGTAATTACTAGTACAGTTTGGTGTCACTGCCTTCATTGTTCCCAAGGCACCGGCAGTTTTACCCACCATCGCTTTTGCAGTATCAACACAGTGAAAAAGGTAAATAATATCTTACTTTGAGAAACACTGGATGAAAAAAAAGTTATGGACATTTACCTGTTTTTTCTGTTCAGTGGGAGACATGCATTTGGCACCAACCTTCTCAGCTTCCTCAAAAAGGCTGTCAACAAAATATTCACAATTTCTTTGTTGATCATCATTAAGAGGTTGGTTGTCAGATCCTGTTTCACAAACCCTACACAAAAAAAGGAAATTAAGCAACTATTACTTTTCCAAAAATTTACATGAATTTCTAGTTAAAGGATCCTGAAATGAAATGCTTCCAGTCCTGCAGTTTTGACCCACTTCTAAATTAAGATTCTAGCAGATATGTGACCTTGGAAAGTCATTAACCATTTGGGTCCAGAGCAGGGTTTTCTCAACTTCAGTCTACTGATATTTGGGGAGGGATAATTCTTTGCTGTGTGGGCTGCCCTATGTATTGTAGGATGTTTGGTAGCAACTGTGGCCTTTACACACTAGATGCCAGTATCATGCATACTCCACCCACCTCCACCTCCAGTGTAATAACCAAAACCATCTCTAGACATTGCCAGATATCCTCTGGGAGCCAAAATCTCACCAGGTTGAAAATTACTGGTCCAGAGTATAAAAATGTGTTCTTAGCAAAAAGCTCAAAACAGCTTTACAAGGGGTTACTATGTGCCTTCTGGTAGTAAAAAATATTTTATTTTATTTATTTATTTGAGAGAGAGCACGAGTTGGGGGGAGGGGCAGAAGGGGAGGGAGAAGCAGACTCTGCACTCACTGGGGAGCGCAAAGTGGGGCTCGTTTCCAGGACCCTGGGATCGTGACCTGAGCTGAAGGCCGACCCTTAACCCACTGAGCCACCCAGGTGCCCCAACAGAAAGCACTCTTGAAACTAAAGGTGATAATGTGTCAGGAACAGTCCTAATCATAGTTTTGATTGTTTGCATACTTCTGAATGAGATTTCCCACTGAAGATTTTTGATTTGTAGTAGTTTAACACTCTACTATTTTTTTAATTGAGGTATAATCAACATGTTCGTTTCAGGTGTACAACATGATTCGGTATTTGTATATACTAGGAAATGATCACTATAGTAAGTCTAGTTAACATCTATCACCATACAGTTACAGAAATTTTTTTTTTGCAATGAGAACTTTTAAGATGTAATTTTTTAGCAACTTTCCAATATGCAATAGTTTTTTTTAAAGATTTTATTTATTTATTTTAAAGATTTATTTATTTATTTATTTGAGAGAGAGAGAGA